TGAGATTTGTATGTATACCGTATAATTCCTTTGTGTATAGATTAATTGATTTGTTTTGTTTTGTGATTCCCCGCGGTGTAGTTGTTTCAATATATTCTCACCTACTGTACTGACACTATATATTCGTTATACAGAAATTGTTGGTTATATTCTCATTTACTGTCAACGACAGCGTGGGAAATTCAGTTCAATAAAAACGAAAATGAATAGATACTACACAATAAATAAAAAAAAACATGATAAAATAGATAAACAAAACAGAAATAAGAAGTCGAATACCATAATAATGAATATCTATAAGCATTGAACTTGTTTGCATTCATGGGTTTGAGTATGACAACTTGAATCAGACAAATTCACCATAAAGCGTCCGTTTCATGGAATTTGCTTTTGTCCCGTACCCTTGAAATAAAAGAATCAGAATAGGTTATGTATTCCATATATTGTATATATATTGTATATATATTGTATATATATATATTGTATATATATTGTATATATATATGTATATATATATTGTATATATATATATGGTGTATATATTGTATACATATTATATATATATATATATTGTATATATATATATATGTGTATATATATATATTGTATATATATTGTATATATATATATTGTATATATATATATATTGTATATATATTGTATATATATTGTATATATATATATATTGTATATATTGTATATATATATTGTATATATTGTATATATATATTGTATATATATGTATATATATTGTATATATATATATATATATATATATATTGTATATATTGTGTATATATTGTATATATATATTGTATATATATTGTATATGATATATATTATATTGTATATATATTGTATATATATTGTATATATATATTGTATATATTGTATATATATATATATTGTATATATTGTATATATATTGTATATATTGTATATATTGTATATATATATATATGGTATATATTTATATATATTGTATATATATTGTATATATATATATATTGTATATATTGTATATATATATATATATATATTGTATATATATATTGTATATATATATATATATATATATATTGTGTATATATTATATATATATTGTGTATATTGTATATATATTTCAGTCATTGATATCAATGTCGGATTTTACATAAACAACTTAATGTTATACTCTATATAAATTTTGATTCTATTTCTGTTGGACACGGACACAAGTCTAAAAGCTAATTCAACAATGCTCTGAATAAAATTTGAAGTTGTCAGTTTCAATTAGACATTGACCTGTTCTCCGTCAAATGAAATCAAAGTTGGAACCTTGTTGGATCCAAACATTTCGATATAGTCTGTTACAGTTATATACTCACTATATACTACTGCTATACTGTTTACGGGATAAGTTACACATTTATAATAATAATATGAACATTTTTCTGACATCATAAATATACTCATTCCTTGTTTTCGTACGTCAATATTCACAATTTTATCAAATATTCAGCATAAATCTTTTAACTGACACCTTTTTCAACACAATATTCTATCTAGGAAGTAGTAGGAAAATATGGGTCCGCGGAGACTCCAACTTGTTAACTTCCGATCTCCAGCCGGACACACTGCATAGCTTCATTTAAGGTAAAATAGTGGAGTCTTGTAACCTGTTTTTCACATACGATACCAGGAAAAACAGTAACGTAATAGATTGTATATACGTAATTATCCATTGTATGTGTACACAATGTAACATTATATGGCACTAGTCTTTGGTCCGCATCCATATGTATTGGAAAATAAGGTTTGAAAACTAATCCTATTACTTAGACATGATAAAATCAACATGTCTCGGGGATAATGCATTATGTCATACCTTTGTATATGTGCCGGTTATTCCCGAGGGGCTCCGATTTGTCGCCTTCTCTACCAAAGTGATAGAACACATTCGTCAGCCGTGATATTAAGCGGAGCATGGTTGTACTATATGTCACTATTATCCGTAAATAATGGCTGCGGGATTGTATAACTTGTACTTTAGTCCGCGAGCTAGACTAGGCGTCTATTTCACGTACAACAGAATCTACCTGTTTGTGGTTTCGACATTTCCTTACCAATATACATTTGATTACAATGATTTTTGTTCTCTGTCGTGGCCGGAATATCAATTACAAATTACACAACCAGTATGTTTACTTCATTCAAAGCCAATGGTAGACAGATGTTTGGTACATAAATTACTGCTGACACTTATCAAATACAATATTTTACAAAAAATAATTCCCTTCCATCGAAATCTTTTACGTTATCGGATATTTGAAATACTGGAGTGATAAGCATGCTTATTTTCAACGGAAGTTCTGATAAGGGCGATAACTCTCACTCATTATTTGTCATGTCATAATTGTTAAGTGAAATACTCATATCCTATACTAGTTTGGTTTCCTTTTATATCGCCAACACTGACAATATATAACTAACCAGAAAGAAACAGCGTTAAAGTGTACCCTGAGAGGTCAGCTATGTTGACCTTAAAAATAGTTCTGCACATAAAATACACATTGCCGAAAACGCGAATGCCGTAGAATGTTCCGTTACTGAAAAATTGTGACTTTTCTGAAAAACACACCATTGGCTGAGAGGCGTTGACCTCGTTTTCGGGCATTCAAACCTGTGATGTCATAAGTTCAACGCTTTTGCTGATGCAGCCATATTGGCATTACTGTGCTACATGTGATTGTGATCTATTTTGGGATTTTCCCGGGTAATTTCTTTGTTTATTTACGTGAAAGTACTTCACATCTTCGCAATATTTAAGGTTGTGAACGAGGGGTTGGTGAATTAGCGCTTAAATCCGCTAAAATGGCTTCCTATCGAGGAGGGAAGCGGTGTGCAGCGTGCGGTTGTCCTAACGGTCCCGGGAATTTTCGCACCGAAGAAAATCCGTCACGGGTATTTTCGTCCTGAGAATTTTCGAACTACTATTATACAGTAGTACTATATAATAGGTTATGTGTAGAGATGTCATCTAAACAGTGTGTTCCCATTTCGCCTTAGTTACATATTTTGGTATAAAACAGGTGGAAATGTGCTAAGGCGAAATGGGAATTGGGCTAAGGCAAAGTGGGAATTTAGGAAAAGTGTGGAAAGATAAACAAACCAATTATCTGCAGCAGTTGTTGATTTTACAATAACTCATACTACAGTTAAATCTTAATCATGATTGACCAAAGGCCTCATAGATTTAAGATATATATAATATATAAAATATATATGAAGAAATAAAAATAACTACATGTTGTATTGGAACTTGTACATTTTAATACTAAATCAATTAAATATATTTAAATAAATATTGGTTTTATTTCTCTTTTTTTTATAATTCAAAGAAGGAACAAATCTTATTTTAAAAACCTAGTTTTTCATTGAAACGTATGTTTATAAGCAACTGATATTTTCACTTATAGTTTTAGATAGTTTTTCTTGGGGATATATGCATACAAAAATATTCATAGTAGATTTTTACAGACTGAATGATCTGTTCACCCTAGAAGTAACAGCATGGACTAACTCCTCATCTCAGCTTACGTATAAGAATCCTGTTCACCCTAGCAGTAACAGCATGGACTAACTCCTCATCTCAGCTTACGTATAAGAATCCTGTTCACCCTAGCAGTAACAGCATGGACTAACTCCTCATCTCAGCTTACGTATAGTAACAGCATGGACTAAATCCTGTTCACCCTAGCAGTAACAGCATGGAATAACTCAGCATCACTCTCAGCTTTAAGAATCCTGTTCACCCTAGCAGTAACAGCATGGACTAACTCCTCATCTCAGCTTACGTATAAGAATCCTGTTCACCCTAGCAGTAACAGCATGGATCCTGTTCACCCTAGCAGTAACAGCATGGACTAACTCCTCATCTCAGCTTACGTATAAGAATCCTGTTCACCCTAGCAGTAACAGCATGGACTAACTCCTCATCTCAGCTTACGTATAAGAATCCTGTTCACCCTAAGTAACAGCATGGACTAACTCCTCATCTCAGCTTACGTATAAGAATCCTGTTCACCCTAGCAGTAACAGCATGGACTAACTCCTCATCTCAGCTTACGTATAAGAATCCTGTTCACCCTAGCAGTAACAGCATGGACTAACTCCTCATCTCAGCTTACGTATAAGAATACCCTAGCAGTAACATATAACAGCATGGACTAACTCCTCATCTCACCCTTAACACATGGACTAACTCCTCATCTCAGCTTAGTAATCCTGTTCACCCTAGCAGTAACAGCATGGACTTACTCCTCATCTCAGCTTACGTATAAGAATCCTGTTCACCCTAGCAGTAACAGCATGGACTAACTCCTCATCTCAGCTTACGTAAAAGAATCCTGTTCACCCTAGCAGTAACAGCATGGACTAACTCCTCATCTCAGCTTACGTATAAGAATCCTGTTCACCCTAGCAGTAACAGCATGGACTAACTCCTCATCTCAGCTTACGTATAAGAATCCTGTTCACCCCTAGCAGTAACAGCATGGAGCTAACTCCTCATCTCAGCTTACGTATAAGAATCCTGTTCACCCTAGCAGTAACAGCATGGACTAACTCCTCATCTCAGCTTACGTATAAGAATCCTGTTCACCCTAGCAGTAACAGCATGGCTTCATATCAGCTTACCCTACAGTAACAATGGAATCATCTGTTAATCTAACTCCTCATCTCAGCTTACGTATAAGAATCCTGTTCACCCTAGCAGTAACAGCATGGACTAACTCCTCATCTCAGCTTACGTATAAGAATCCTGTTCACCCTAGCAGTAACAGCATGGACTAACTCCTCATCTCAGCTTACGTATAAGAATCCTGTTCACCCTAGCAGTAACAGCTTGGAATAACACTAGACTTACAGAGATTCAGCTTGGAATTACTCCTCATCTCAGCTTACATGTTATCTATAAAAGACCTTTAACAGTATGCTAAAGTATCAGTTTCACAATCAACATGGCAGGAGTTATGCTACATGTAGACTTTTTAGAGACTAACAGGGGTGGTAGACATCTTGTATGGAATGGCTTTATATATCGCCATAACAACAAGAGGGACACATGGATATCATGGAAGTGTACCGAGAAAAACTGCAAAGCTACATTATGCACTCGAGATGACATACCCACAAAGATAGGCCAGGTTCACAATAATCTTCCAGACCGAGCAGCAGTAGGATGCAAGAAGATTATGAACAACGTACGAACGAGAATTAAAACCGAACTTCATCCACTACCAGCCTATGATGAAGAAATATCCAAACTCCGAACTACGCCATGGGATGCTCAGAGTATAGAGATTGCCTCTAAACTTCCAACGTTTGATGCCAAGAAGTCGTCATTCTATGGTAGCAGAAAGAAGACACTACCGCCAATTCCGAACACCAGACCAGAGGTACAACTTGAAGGTAAATTTACCTAGACCACCAGTGGAGAACAGGTTCTACAAGCAAATGATGGAAACAACGACAAAATACTGACGAGAACCTAGTACATCTATGCTCTGCCGAGATCGTCTACTGCGATGGAACCTTTTATACAGCCCCAGTATCTTCAACTTCTTCTTTTGGTCGTTACGGGGCGGTATGTTTGTATTTCTGAGCGGAATATGCGTTCAGTAGTTCAATAGTTTACTAAAAGATTGAGTATGCGAGAGAAACATCTCGCATGCCTAAGATCTACGAGTGTTTGTGGAGAAGGAAAACATTTCGAAAAAAAATCCCATTGTAATTTATCGCTTGTCTCGTAACAATATCTGCTGTCGTGAACACCCAGTGATAGTATTAATCTATGAACTGTGATCTTTTCTCTTCAATTGACAAACCATTAATTCTCAAACACCCTCTCTAAAATGCCAACACCCAACTGACAGCTAGCAGTTACTCCTATTACGCTGAGGAAAAATTATCACAATGTGTTATCTGTAGCGGTAAAAATAATATTAACCTAAAAAAAATTAAAAAGCAACCAATTTTTGAAGGAGTTTAATTTTCTTAAATAAGAGATATGAGATGATCGGATTATTATCATACAGCTGGCTGGCTCGGATTCCAAATTTAGGAGATCGATAGTAATCCTAGAAATTAGGTGTCATGCGTGATTTTTCTGGACAAGCAAAAACGATTTCTTAATAGCATTTTAATTCTATTTTATTGTTTTATCCAGTGTAGAAGAATTATATTGGCGAATCCATCAACATGGCTCTATCAGGGTCACGTGATGTAGCCTGTCTGCAGTCTAAACCACACCACAACGAGGCTATGGTGTTGTCAACGTAAGACTGAAACTGAACTTAGCCACAATATGATAACAAAATAACGAATCTACACGAAAATACTTTGTTTAAAATATATTTTTGTATAATTTATACCGTTGATGTACAAAGATACTATTTTTTTTGTATAGATTACAAAATTTAAAAAAAAAATACAACAACTGCGAGACAAGCTATCAGCTTATATTAATCACTCTTGTTGTCTCGGTTACAAGTGCGCGAGGGTCTTACTGGGGGAGGAAAGTACAGTACTCAGAGAAAACGTGGTCGGGCAGGTGAGCACATTCCTTCCATGTCCGTTTCGGGAATCGAACCCCGGGCGCCCACAATAAAACACACCACTAGTGGTTAGAACTAGTGATACATGAAGTCAGTTCTGTATTCGATAAACCTAGAAAATATTTTTAATGCCAATGCAGATATCTTCCTTGTTTTCATGTCCCATCTACCATTCTTAATAAGATGCATAAGTCTCACGTCTGTGTTGGTATTGGTTCAAACGACAACTAAGGATGCAACACGGATAATGGAGAAGTCATAGTCTTCCGGATGTAAACGACATCTTCGGAACTCTTCATAATCTACCTATAAAACTGATCGACAACTATATTTTCAACCTTTTTACGAGCTTCAAGTCGTGGAAATTTTCTGCAAAACAATGTTTACGCACGAACAAATGACAATGGACAAACATCGACAAAATGCACAAAGTTATTTTTGAAACGTCGTATCAAATTCACATCACCCCGGACACAGAACAACGTTTCAGCAGATCTGTTTCCTTTCTTAGTGACAACTCTAGATTTATTTCCAGTTACCGCTGTGAAAAAGACTTTCTTGAAACATTGAATGTTAGAATGATGTCGACATATATTGATTTATTCTCTTAAAATGTTATCAAACGTTTCTTCCATTTTAAGTTTCGTCGAAAGATAGCATTTTAAAAATTTGTTGACTTTTTCTGACAAACGTTATCTATAAAAACACAATGACTCGATATATATTTTTTAAAAGCATGTACTTCAACGTGGCGTTGCTGATAGCGAATACATAACGAAAAAACATTAGTTCAGATTTCTGGTGCAGAATGGAAAGTTTCCTATACAAGGCTCCAGACATCCATGGATGTAAGATTATATACTACTGAATGTTTGTTCTCAAGATTTATTGGTTTGAAAACAATTCACACTTTCCCCGTATATCATCTCCTCAGGGAGACTGTTCCGCGTGTGTTCGCTGTCTTTAATCTGGAAGCTTTTTTCTCGGCCAAATTCTTGTCTGTTCATTCTCGGATGTCCGCTACCGCTTTGTCTTCCCTTCTTTTCGCTACGGTAGCAGTTGATATGTCATAGGTTTTATGTGGGACATTAAACATGTCAATGTTATCTCAACTAATTCTTCAGTATGGAATCCCAATAGTTAGGACAGGAGAAGTCTTGGGTTGGTTGTTCTCTGTTGTCCACTCTCTATTTGTTAAAGAGGTCTTACTTTCGATTGACTTCAAACTTGACAGGCAAATTCTAATAAAACACGAAGTGGAGTTTGATAATACAATGGACAAACGACTTTTCGTCTAATTAACGGAATGATCAACGGACCGTGACGTAAAAATAAAACGTACCCTTTTTTATGTGATTGCTGATTGTAATAACCTGGATAAATTGTTTTTGTTGACAAGGAGTGTTTACCACGCATGTTGTAGTCTCACTATTCACGGACTGTTTTCCCTTGTGAATGTGTTGAAATATGAATATAAAAGTATCGTTATTACTGTTTGTATCAGATCAATTTTTATACAAATTGGATATCTGGATTACTAGGGGGTACGCCATGTTTTCATTAAAAAATCCCTTTCCCTGGTGTATCTGATTTTAAAAATCTTCTTCATTTGTATGGATCAGACGAGATGACCACTCGGACAACTGTAAAACCGGATCTATACAAGAAATTAACAACGATTTTTGTACGTTTAATATGCTTTAAAGTATTCAATCTTTGTTTCACTAATGAAATCATTTCTGGAATTAAAATTCATCTGAAGGTTTTCTGTAAATAGTAACCGTGAACTACACGTCGAGTGCACGAGCTCTTAATGTAATAGGAAACTGGGGTACCCGAGGAAAACCCACGTGGTCGGGAAAGTGACTCATAACCGTTTCACGTCCGCTCGGGGAATTGAACCCTGGATGTCTAGGTACACGCCGAGTGTGTTACCACTGCATCACCGCTCATAAAGCATCGATAAATAGTATTGTAGACAGACCAGTACAGGTTTAAGTGGGGAAGCGTAGATAGAGTGGTGGCAGCACCTGTATTCCCTCAGGGGGAGGCTGTAGTGTGGATAACTGGACGTATAGCATGTGATCCCCGTAAGAACTTAGGAGACGGTAGTATATGTTATTTATTTGTTTAGTATATTTTCTCGTGAGTTAAGTACAGTGTTGCGATAGACACGTGACAGGATAACCAATCATCGTTTAATTAATTACCTGTCTAAAAAATTATAAACTCTTTTTGGCTACCAGCTTGATATTTTGAATTATTTCCAATTCTCTACCCTACACATGTATCTTTTGAGATTATCATGAAAGATTCCATTGAAATAATGCCAATATAATTGATTGATTACAGTGTCCAGTAAATTGTTTATATTTTTGTTTTGTAGAGTTGTTATCACATTTTTTGTTTGTTTTTCTATAAAAATGGGAGGAAAACAGAACATTTGACGTTTTTGGTAGTGCAATAAATTTCCAAAAGAGGTCGAAGGGAGATAACTCCATTTTCTTTTAACCACTTTTTCTACGTATCGTTAAAATTGTACACAGTTTTCATATGAGAGACAAAAATCCATTTATCTTTTATTTTTATCAAATAAAAACATTAACATTATAACAATTGACAGATTACAATTAAAACCTCACGGGTCTGCAAATTGCTGTGATTTTAAACAGCAGGAACTTACCGACATGCCAACAGAATCTTATCCAAAGTGAAATTCAATAAAATTTTGGCCGGAATAAAATAAAAGAAAGTACAATGAGTATCAGACTAGGTGTTCCGGAAGAGTACGCGTCTTCTACTTCATCGACGACACCCATCATATACAATGAAAAAAAAAGTCCATTCAAGTAAACAACGCCATGTTCCAAAATGTAAGGAAGGTAAACAACACCGGAGCCACCATGTACAGGTTATTTCAGCGCTAAAAAGGCACTATCCACTATAAATTGTTATCAATCGAGAGAAAAACCACATCAAATCACAATGAATACAGTTTTTTATACATTAAAATAATGATACAACAGATACAAGTGAATGAGGGAATGTCACATTAATTAAACTTTTGGCTGGGTGTTATGTACCTTAACATATTTCTAAAACCTATGACGAGTGCGTCTGCTGATAGTATGTAGTTCTTAGGAGCAATTAGTTTATATCGATAACAAAATCCAGATTTAAGTCGGTAATATTGAAAATAGTGTACATGTTTCTATATTATAATGAGGACATATATAGAAAAGAGTCGTAAACATTTTCACAAAGATTTCCGAAATTCATTCTCGAATTATCAGTCATATTATCAATAAAAGATTGTATGAACTATATTTAGTTTCCACCTCCCAAAGCTGTAAAACCTATTGTTGATTCGCCAGTTTTGTTTATTCCAGGTGGACCGTTAAAAACAACCATAGGTAGTGAGAGATCGGAAATAGGAAGTATTAATTGTTTTCCTCGTCAGTAACAAATGTACTTTTCTCTTCTTCTTATGTCTGATAACTTTTCTAACCATGATTCAATGTGTTGTCCTCGGGAAAAAATCCGACCCTCGCAGGCTCTTTAATAAAATTGATTTTCTAGCCTTATGGTTAAGTCGACCTTCAGCAGCCCTATGATTAAGCTGGCCTTTCCTGCTTTTTGATAAAGTTGACCTATCAAGCTATTTGATAAAACTAACTTTCCAGGCCCCACTCGTATAAAACATCTCATTTTGAGATTTCTTCAAGTCGAGATTTTCCTCAGCTGATATCTCCTCAAAAACGGCTTGTATAACATTTTCTCAAGGAACAGGAGGAAGGCATCGGCTAGGATGTCCTGAAATTCCTTGAGGAATTTTCATACAAGATATTTTCAAGG